GTGGACACTGCTGGGTGGTGCTGTTGGAGGCTTCTGAGGAGTGTGGATAATACACTGAGGTGGTTTTTCGCCAATTTCTGACAGTTGTGGAAGTTGACGCTGTCCCTGAGATTCCTGGGCCTTCACGTTATTTGTTTTGCTATTCGTGGCTTCCATTTCCTGAAGGAAAACAGGTTTCTTTACTTTGTTGTAGTTGTTGTTGTTTAATGGTTTTAAAATCAAATGAAATTCATCTTTTATTTTCATTTTTTTCCCTCTTTAAATAGGACTTTGACCCTGCAAATTTTATTCTGGGTCACAGTAGGAATCATAGCATACATTCAGATACTTCCAACACATTGCCTCCTCCTACCACAAACCTCCTTTTAAATGTTAAAATCAGAAAGGACTGCAATTCCATTGGTCTGGGAGGTGATACTGGCTCTACAGATCCTATAAAACTGATCTAAATCATTTGATTAGATAAAACTCTTAGGATTATTTTTTGGGGAGGGCAAAACAGCAGATTCACATTTATGGGCATTTCTTAAGTAAGCCTTTCCAATCAAACAAATACATGCACCAGTCCCTGTCCTGTGCTCTTTGACAAATAAGATATACAGGTCTCCATCCTTTCAGGTGTCCTATCATAACTCCAACAGAATAGGTCCCTCAAATTCACAGTTCCTCAGGAAGGATCCTGCTACCTCTATACTGTGGATCAGGAAGCCAGAATCTTTCTGGGTTCCTAGTTGCATTCACAGCAATTCAACATACTACCTAAAGCATTATCTTTAGCTACATGGTTAGACAATTTCAAGTAGTAATGGGAAATCTCTATAAAATCATATGCCATGACAATCTTCAATTACACTAATGGAAGATCATTAAATATCATCATAATTGGGTCAGCACAACACACTACTGACCAGTTTTTTTAACTGTTTTGTAGTTGTAGATGGACAGCATGCCTTTATTTTGTTTATTTTATGTGGTATCAAGTGCCTCACACGTGCAAGGCAAGTGCTCTGCCACTGAGCTACAGCCCCAGTCCCCTGACCAGTTTTGACAGGATTGACAGCATTCAGTAATCTGACTTTTAAAGTGCCAGTTGTGTATATGTGTGAAAGAACTGCTTAGAGGGCCGTCACCTGGAGTAGAGCCCCTTAGAACAGCTTCTAAGCACCACAGGCACTTGTGCCACAGTAACAAACCCCAAGCCTAGCACTTAGCATAAAAGTGTTTAAAAATAAATTTGAGACATTTTAACATCTTCACACCTACCCTGCAGTCCATCTGTGTTCATTGAACATTCAAGTTTTACAGTTGAAAGATGACTGGATCTAAATCCTGGCACGGATGTCTACTACCTCTGTGACCTGTCTGATTTCACCCATCTCTATTTTCTCATGTGCGCAATGAGACTAACAAGACCATTTTCATATGGTATTATAAAGAAGAAATGAGATGATGTACATGAACCTGGGTTCTACATTTGCTGCCAACTCATTTGATCAAGCACAGTTTTTAGGGTTATGTTTGGGTAAAAAAGAAAAAAAAACTCTGTTTTTTTTTTTTTTCTCTAAGGGAGGAAATTTCAGAACAAAGTCAGCAGCCTTTGAATTGAATTTTGTTTATTAACTAAAACTTTCCATTAAGGAAATGCACATTTTTTGTCCTGACACCTGTTCTCCAGGCTCCTAAAAAGAAAAACAGACAAACAAAAAAGCAGATTTCTTTGACCTTTCAGGAAAGATTATTGTGAGAAATGTGGGTTCTGGGAACTAACAACAATACTAACAACAGAGGCTGGGCTGGTGTTGCTCTCCTGTGAGGAGGAGGCTGAGGCAGGAGGATCACAAGTTCAAAGCAAGCCTCAGCTACTTAACAAGGCCCTAAGCAACTTATCAAGACCCTTCTCTCAAGATCAAAAATAAAGAGAACTGGGAATTTGGCTCACTGGTTAACTTCAATCCCTCCTGCCCATAAATAAATGAATAAGTAAATACAACAGAAAATCAAGCCAAAAATCAATAGTCTCCCTGTATAGGAGGTCTGTCTTCAACATCGGCATGTGGCTTGGTGGTGAGGCTGGACCTTAAGTCGAAGTGCAGCGTGGGTCTTGAGTTAGAAACCAGAGTGCAGAAGAGTGACTTAACTTGTGCTCTTACCTGCCCCTCCTGAAAACTTGAAGAAAGTTTTTCTTGCTTATTCACCAACGGTACAGACTTCTTGATCTTGGGTCGCTGGTAACCACAGGAATCATATCAAGGCAGGGAAAAGAAAAGGCAAAACAAAAAGCAGAGTTTGATGGAGTTGATAATACAGGTGTGAATTCACTTTTCCACCTCTGTCTTTTCTCCCCTCTGGCAGAGCTGACTACAATATGAGTTTATCATCTAGTAGAGAAGAAAGACACCTATTTTTTTTTTTTTACAGTAGGATAAAAGTACAGAAAAGCTTAGGGCCAATGTCTGCTCTTTTGCATAGGGGGTCTTTCCATGAGGAATTATTTGAGGAATGCATTATTGCTGGTACCGGATGGGTAATAAGGAATTCCAAAGCAGGGACAGACCATGAGTCAAAAGACGTGGCAAGCAGTAGCACAGGTGGCTAAAATTAACTCAGAAGTTTGGTCAGTAAGCAAAGATAAAGGGTTGAGAAGAAATTGGAATCTAGAGTGAACATACTTGTATTCATGCATCTTTCTCTGTCTGGCCAACCCCCTATTCATACCCATCTCTCCTGGACCAACACATGAACCTAACACTGTGGAGATCAGAAATTGTTTCATCAATGTATGCCTTGTAAATAGCCCTGAGATTTTGATAGATGCATTTTGTAAATCAATATGTGATTTAATTGTAGGAGGAAATGGGGTACAGTAAGGGATTAGGAAAAGCTCTTTCAAGGTTTTAATGACCCCTGAAATATGGTGTGGGGAGGGACAAGTATTAGGAACAGGAAGAGGTACCTTGACTGGAGGACTATTGGATGGTTCTGGTGGAGCCCCATGAGGAGTCTGGGGACAGACCTCAGTTTGTTCTTCGCTGGTTGCTGAAGGTTCCATAAACCGACCCTGTTCTGGGGGAAGCTGTGTTCTCTCAGGGTCTTCAGATTTTTTCATTTTGTTTTCTTGAGACAATTTTAGTCTTTCTTTCTTCTTGACAGAGGTAGGTTTTCTTTTTTGATGCTGCGAATTGAACCAGGGCCTTAATCATGCTGACTAGGTGCTCCACCTCTAAGCCACACTCCCAGCCTTTGGTAATGGGGTTTAATGTCAGTTGAAGCAGAGCATCTTTAGACAAGAAAGCCTGTATTTATAAGCAGATTCTAATTATACTAATACCCTTGGGAACTCCAGGGAGTCAGTCCATCCTCTAAAAAAGATG